GGGGTGGTCTCAACAGAGCATGCGCCTGCCCCAGGGTCCGGCTTACTTGGTGTTCCTTGGTTCCTCAGGAACTGCCTTTGACTCTTCCTCTGGCTTCTGCTGGATCGATAACCAGACTCCCTACACTGGCACTCTTTGTCTTTGTCGTGCACGCCGCGAGAGTAGAGGTCGCGCGTGCTCTGACGGACGGTGAGCAGGTCGCTGGGTCCTTTACACTTGTGGATGCGGAGCTTGCCGGATGTGTCCTCAATGCACTGCCACTTCTGCAAAAGCCAGCGGGAAGCGGTGGGTGACGCGAGCCAGCCGGGTGGGATTTGTTAGGTACTCCAGCACTAGTTAGGCTTTTTTTTTTTTTTTTTTTCCTGGCTCACCGGCAATACCATTAAGGGGTGAATGAAAAGGGTCATGCTTTCCAGTGACCCTGCAGTCACTCCCCTCTCAGCTCTATTTCTTCTGTGGCAGGCACATACAGATGATAATCAGGAAATCAGCACTGGAAATCAGGACTGCCTCCATGACACTAGCGCTGAACGCTGATAAATGAATCCTCAGCACCCAGACTAAACAGTCTTGAATGAAACATGTTAAAGCCCTTAGTGTCCCAAGACCCAGAGCCAGCTGTCAGGGCCGTTTCCACCGGGACCCCGAACCGCCCCATTTGTTCTGGAAAAACAAACTTGCCTGCTTTGTTCTCTGCCTCTAGGTTTCTAAAGTGATCCTGAGCAGAGTGGCACATGAGGAAGACAGAGAGGCATTTAATTTGAGGCCATTACAGGCAGAGCCGACTGGGGGGCTCCCAAACCTTGGCAAACTCGTCGGGCTTTCTTTTGGTTTTCCTTATTCTTCTACAAGCCCTGCACACCCACAGCATGCGGTGCACCCCGGGGCGATGGAGTGTACCTTCCCAGGAAATGCAAACAGGGAGTCATGCCCGCAGCATGCCGGGCACCCCAGCGCGATGGAGTCCATCTTCCCAGGTCACCCTGGGGCTCCTAGCTCCTGCTTTGTACAGAGCTGTGGAAATGTCACAAGTTTACCCTTCTGAAGCACCATCCTGGTTCTACTAATCTCTTCACTCAGGAGGCCCCTCAGGAGCTCCTCTCCATGTGAAAGCCCCAATAATGTCTTTACTTCCCATTTTCTCTCCCTAAAGTACCCATTAGTTAGTAGGGAGAATATAGGCCTTCATTTGAAGTTGATCCCAACAGTTCAACAGTGAGTACTGATAGACATCAGTAACATTAAATGTATGTCCCTCCCACATACAGGTACTCCCTGTGTGCTATTATGTATATTTCAACACACAGGTTTCTAAGCTGTGGCCAGTGCCATATACTTGTGCTTTAAGAACCACGCTGGCTGTGTCACACATTGTCAAATGTCTTAAAATAAGTTGTGTCTAAAAAGGATGCCCATTCCAGCACCATCTATGAGAATCTTGTATTGTTCACTCGCCTCTGGTAAGCCAATACCTTTGGGAGGTGTCTCAGAAGCAAAATCTCAAACGTAAAAAATAAAGCTTGGTCAAGGGACTTGACGGCCTTGTCAACAGATAAATGACACGTGTCTAAATTGGCACACAAGCCTCCACAGTGAACAAGGGCTTCCCAGTCACCCTTCATCTCTGCCGAGGGAGTCACACGTCTTCGGTACAGGTTTCATTATTAGAGCTGCACGGAGGCTTCTACCCCAAGCCCCGAGTATCTGGAGCACATTCGATGGGTCCACGTTAGCCCTCTACGCTCCTGGTGTTACCAGATGATTATTTCAAGACATGTTAGGTTTGTCTACTTTCAGGGCTTGCCTGGAATGCCTTGAAGATTCAATATCTTCACCCAGAAAAGGAGGTTGCCTAAGAGAATGCAACTACCTACCAAGTAAGCCACAGGGAGGCAACACAAACCACCACAAGGAACAGACTAAGCTGCTAAAGACTTAACTTCACACATGCGAAGTGGGGGGCTGGAGAGATGGCCCTGTGACTGAGAGCACATTCTGATCTTCTAGAGGCCCAGATTCAGTTCCCGGCATCCACATCAGGCTTCCACCACTAACTCCAGTTCCAGGGAATCCAACACTCCCTGTCCTCCCGAAGCACCAGGCACACACGTGGTGCACACAAACTCACATAGGCACCATACATACACAAACATAAACCAACAGGTCTTAAAAGAAAAATGAAGTCAGCTGATCCTGATGGCTCATGCCCATAATGGTAGTACTCAAGAAGCGGAGGCAGGAGGATTGCAGGTCTGGAGCGGCCTGGATTGTAAGACTCTGTCTCAAACCAACAAACATACGAAAATATGACATTGATTTGTTTGGGTCCAAAGGAGCCACGTCACATGAGCGAGTCTGCACTTTGGCTGGATACTGCCACCTACAACAGCTCCCCAGTGACTCTCATGTGTCATCTCGGACCTTTATGTAGCTGGAATCCTTGCGGGAGGCAGGAGGGAAATATTTAAGCCTCAGTAGCTCAGGTGCTTGAGCTTTGAGAAGGATCTAAATATTTGGGTTGGGTTGTGTGTAAGGAAGGTGTGTCTAAAAATGTGTGGATGCAATTATCTCAGAAATGATTCCGGCAGGACAAAAACTGTGACCAGTGTGTCTGTGAGTCAGGATTTGTGCTTGTTTAACAGTAACCAGCTGGCCTCACTCCCTCTTCAGCGAGTGGACTAATGATTGAATTTTGGCTTCAGAGTCTGCTCCAAGTAAAGTGGAACCCACCATTTTCCAGGTAGGGTTCTATAGCCCTCAGAGGATGACCGCTGAACTTGAGAAAGTGTTGTAAGAGAGAGACCCAAAAGAAGTTCTGAGAGAGGCCCAGAACATTTCTGTGAGAGACCTAAAAGACGTTCTCAGAAGCTGATAGACATTTTCACTAAGAAATAACTGTACACCATATAGAATTCTTGTTGTTGATAAGTACTGCCGAAAGAGATAACATTTCATCGTTTGAGAAATTGGGGGTGGTGATTCAGTGTGTCTGCATATGTCTGTTTCTGTCTTAAATTCAAATGGCATAAGATGCAGCCACCCACCTGGATAATCTCCACAGTCAGCATTTGTAATGCCTAAGGCGGCTTACAGCCGAGCGTAAGCCTGAAAAGCGCTCCAGCACCAGCCACACACAAAAATGGGGCTGATGATTTCATTCTTAAAAATCGAGGTCTGTCTGTGGTTCCAGTTCACACCGTCTCTGGTACAAACAACAATCGCTTCTGAGACTGGGTCTCAGCTCCTGGGCTCAAGTGATGCTCCTGCCTCAGCCTCTTGTAATTGGGACTGTCAGTGTGTACCACCATGCCTGGCCAAAGAGTTAGCGCTGAACCCCGGACCACGGCGCAAACTTTCTGAGTGTTCTCAGCCGTGGCACATGAAAGGTTTTCTGCCTTTCCTTTTTCATCGTGGTGCAGAGGAGCTGATGGGACAAGTGAAGTCTTGTAGAACACAGAGGTGTGTGTAGGATTGTCAGCGGCCGCCTCTTCGGAATCTCACCCTTCATGCCACCAGCCAAATTCCTCACGGATTTCCCGTGAAAGGGGGAGTGGGAGATCCTCCCAGAGCAGCGAGGTTAAGAATCTTAGTGTCTGCTGCTGTCTCTGGAACAGACGATGCTTCACACAAGAACACACACACACACACACACACACACACACACACACACACACACACACACACCACAGCTACGTACGTGCATCTGCACACACATTTGAATAAGGCAATATCCATTGACTATTATCTCAATTATCTTCTCCACCATGACCTGCAGAAGTCATAGACCCCTCTACATAGCGCAATTAGCTTGGAGGCTTAGGCAATCTTCCCAGGGCAAGCATACCAGGAATTTCAATGAAACAAAATTACCACTCCTGTGCCTCTTACCACGACAATTTTTATGACTGTGCAATAAAATTTTGGAACAGCTGCTACCAAAATGGCGGCTTCACCGGGCGAGTTTATAGGTGGAAACAGAGACAGGGAACTTCAACAAGAACTATTCTGAAATTAAAACTGCAAGCTGTTCAGTGGTCGAAATAAGAGAAGGCGTTTGCCTCTCAGCTCTTTGGTGAGGTTCAGCTTGAACTTGGCTGAGGCACCTGCTCATGGAAAGTGGAGTTGGCTGTGTCTGTTCAGCATGCACCCTGCACAAACATGGCCATCCCTGTCTATCTCTGATCTAATCCCGAGGCTCCTGAGTAAATCAGTTCATCACTCTGTCCGCCTGTCAGCCACGTGGCAGCCATTCACTCCTCCCAGAGGTTTCTCCCCTGCTTTCTGGAATGATACCATTTCAATTCTCATTCTGCTTTCTGACTGCTGAGTTTGTGTTCATAGTTTATCCTATGTTCTTCCTCAAAGGGTTCCAGATACAGTCAGCAAGGTGCTGGATAAAATTGTTTGTTGAGTCTCTTCAGTTGTTATTTCAGCCTTTCCCACTACACTGACTTGGAATTGGGGGACAAGAGCATGTGTCATGTCCCCGAATGGTCCCCCAAAGCTATCTCAGTAGAGTAGCGCTGATTTTGGTAGTCATGTGTCCAGGTTGTTGGTTGTTTCCATCTGCCTGTGTGTAAATAGCACCCATGAAGAAGACGGGCCTGGTGATTTTCTTGTGCACAGGCGTACCAATACCATGTGCAGCTAGACTTGTGTAGAATCAAATCAAATGAGAAGAGCATCGCTTACCCTTTGGAAACATGTTCATCATTACCATCTTTACCTCCACCGTCAGCGCTGCTGAGTGCTTGTTGGATGTTCAGAGCTGGTGACGTGGATTAATTGCTGCAATCCTTACAGCTACCCAGTGGGCTGCCACTCAGCTTCATGGAGCCCGTGAACGTCACTCATAGTCTGTCCTGGACTTAGAGTGGTCGACGGAAAGTTCCACTTCCGCCTTATAAGTTAGAGAAGTTTGGGGTTACATAGCATCTACTTCCCAGTTGTCTGCAGCCCTGATCAAGGCTGCTATGTGAGGGAGCTGGGCTGGGTCAGGAGTGTGAGTGGAAACAGCAACCCACAGAGAGCTCCCTGTGGAAAGCGCTCCGCTCAGCTAATGTGGTAGTTATTACATCTTTTCACGCACACTGATGCGCTGTTCTTAACAGAATTGGAAGTTACAGGAACTTGGTATGCAGCAGCCATCTTTAATACAGGCAAATATTGGGTTGGGTGTCTGAAAACCTCAACTTTAATTGTCCTTTGCTCCTAACTCTAGGACTTTGAGCAAACAACAGAACCTCAGTTTTCTTCCAGACTC